GCGGGCCTCTCGCGCGCGTCGGCCGCGCGCGCATAATCCGTTCAAGAAATTCCTCGCCGATGCGAAGACATACTCATCGTCATCGGCGTGATCGGGGGCCGTCAATTGCGCCGTCAATGGTCTTGCCGTCATCGCCGTCTTCACCGTCACCATCACCGCTACTGTCATCACCGTGTCTATCGCCGTCGACGTCGCCATGGTACCGCGCCCGCCCAAGTGACCGACTCGCACTGAAGTGCCCGACCGTCAGCGCGGCCTGTAAGACACGCTGGAAAATGACCATCGGTCAGCGCCACCGCGGTCGCGCCAGTCTCGCCAAACTAGCTGGCCGCTGTGCCCGCGAGCATGCGTGGGCTAGCGCGGCCGCAAGGATGCACCAGCCAGCACCAAGCACTCATCGCAAGCGCCGCCGCATGGTTTTACGAACCAGGTTGCGGGCGGGTGGGTGGGTTGATTGCGGGAGCAATGGACTTGACAACTCCAAGATTTCTTCTTCCGAAATAAACTACATCAGATGGATTGCACTGCAGAGATTGCACCGTATAGGTTGCACAATATAGGTTGCACCACCTGTGTTGCATTACATGGGTTATAGCACATAGCTCGTACCACGTAGGTCGACCATACATTTTGGGCAACATACATTGCAACCTTGCCCATGGTGCACCACATCGATTGTACCGCAAAAGATCCACCGCACAGACTGCGCCGCATAGACTGCACCACGTATGTTTCAGCACACGTACTGCACCACGTCGATTGCATCACATATCCGCCACCGTGCCTCTGGGCACGGGGTTGGCGTGTCCACAGGTCCTTTGCCTAATCCTCTAAACCTCAATCGTCACTCGCGAGGAATACTTCAGGGGCCCGGACCCCAAGGCTTGTCATGTGCCCCCAGGGGCTTCCCGCGTGCCCCCCATGCTCCGGGAAGTGGTCTCACATGAATTTCTCGGGCCCCGGCAGAAGGCCCCAAGACGGGCCAAGAGGGTCCCAAAAAGCCCTGAAGACGGTCCAAGACGGCACCGGGTCGCCGAACGATCGCTCCAAGACGCTCAACATGGTTGAGTTCCCATTGGTTTTGACGGATTTCGGCGTTCTCGTCTTTTCGTCTGCTCCCAGACAGCCATAGAGACCCCCAAGAGTGCCCCAAGACGGCCCAAGAGGCCCCAAAGAGGGCCCCCAAACGGCCCAAGAGTGCCCCAAGACGGCCCAAGATGCGCCCCAAAACGGCCCCAAGACGGCCCTCAAAGGGACCCAAGAGAGGGAACACGAACCGAAAATCCAAATCTTTCGCCCCAAGAGTCCCTAGGAGGCCCCAAGACGCGCCCAGGAGACCACACGAGGCTCCAAAAAAGGCCCTCAAGAGGCCCCCAAGAGGCCCCAAGAGGCCCCAAAACAGCCCCCAAAGGCGTCCAAACTGCCTCCAGACTGCCTCCACGAGATACCAACGAACATTCAATAGGCTTCATACCCACAACCCAGGCACGGTGGCGGGATGGGCCAAAGACCATGAGCTATGGCACCACATAGATCGCACCACACTTAGTGCACACACAACATTGCACATAATAGACCACATCACACACACTGCACCACATCGAGGGCACCACCAAAATTGCACAACATTGATCGCACAACATAACTTGCACCACAAAGGTTGCACAATATAGATTCCCCAACCGTGATCACTCGTTCCACTGCACAGCAAATACTGCACAATATTGACCAGCAGAACACAGATTGTACCACAACTGTTGCACCACATAGATGGCTCCACATCGCGTGTATTCCTAGAGGCACACTTTGTCGTGTCCACACTGGCTAACATGTATAAGTGTTAAAAACCGCAGATGCGTTAACATGCACGTATGCTCGCCAGTGTGGTCCCGAAGATGTCACTTGTTACTTCGTGGGTGTGTACACTACATGGTGAAAACAATGTGGTAGAAGCTATGTGATGCAATTGACGCTGTGCGAGTTATTCGGTGAACGCTAATTGGTGCAATCCTGGCGGTACAATCCACGTGATGCAAACTACGTGGTACAAGATACGTGTTACAACCTACGTGGTGCAAGCGATGTGGTGTAAGCTATGCGGTGCAAGCTACGGGGTACGATGCTCTGACAAAAGGACAAAGACAAAAGGACAAAGACAGAGAGAGAGAGAGAAAGAGAGACAGAGAAAGAGAGAGAGAAAGAGAGAGAACACCGATTCAAATCCTAGGCGTGAGATCATCACGGCCGATATGAAAGCACACGTGAGGCACAACATGCTGGGTAGACCTTTTGAAACCAATGTGCGCGGGGCGGCCCGCCGTAGACGCCGACTTGGTTGAAACGATGTGGCTGGGTCGCATTGCGCGTAGTCGACGGTCGCTCGGGCGACGATACGTAGTCGTGAGATCCCAAACCAAAGAACCGACACAATCGACGATTTGGTTGAAGCAATGCCGCCGGTGGGTCGCGGGCCAGGTCGCGGCCTGGTTGGGTCGCGGGTGGTCGCGGGCTGGTCGCGACGCGAGTGTGTCGCGTCGCAGGCGGGTCGCGGGTGGGTCGGAGGTGTTTTGCGGGTTGGTCTCGGGTGTTTCATGGATGGGTCGCGGGTGGGTCGCGACGCGGGTGGGTCGCGGTGCGGGTGCGTCGCGCGTGGGTCGCGGGCAGTTCGGGGGTTGGTCGCGGCGCGGGTGCGTCGCTGGCTGGGCGGGCGGGTCGGGGGACGACAACGACGACGCGCGCCACCCACCATGTATACCCCAACCCCTCGACGGCCGCCCTTTTCGTTGACGAGCGTATCCCTCGGCTCCTGGGCAAACCCGGACAGGGCAAGACAAGCGGGCAAAACCACAGGCGGTCTGGGAGAGACCCCAACCAGCTGGACGGGCGTGCGGACCCTCACGGGCGGGACGTGCGGAACCTTGAAGCAAGAGGGCGGGGCCCTGACGCGAGGGTCGGGCGAGCGGAACATTGACCGGGAGCGGCCAAAAGGGGGGTGTCCAAGAGGGGGGGGTGCAAATCATGACCCGCGGGACGTGCGCGGCCCAGCGGGGGGGCCAGGGACGAAATCTGGGGAAATATCATGGCACCCGCCATGATATCCACCCCCCCCTAGTCATCACCCCCCTCTTTTCCGCCCCCGAATTGTAAACGGCGGGGCGAGCGGGCGGACCCTGACGGGCGAGCCGGGCAGGCCGACTCTAACGGGCGGGCCAGGTGGACCCTAACGGGCGGACGGGAGGGCGAACCTTGACGAGCAGGCAGGGCGAACAGACAGAAAACAGACACCCGCATCGCGCCGAAGCGTGCTCCCGGCCGGAGTAGGCAGAAAACGCCGCAGCGCTCAGATCAGGAACGTGCCAGAAATATCACATCGTCACTTAGTCTGCTTCCAGCTTGTCTCAGACTGAACTGCCAGCTGCACATTCAAACAAATTGCTGGCCGTCGCGCCAAAGCCCTGTCTCTGCAAACACCTTTATTGCATCGTCAGCCCATCCCTTCTCCGGGAGGTGGGCAAGAACGACCCTGGCAGTATCTGGAACGCTCGAGTTGCCATGATGCCGCTTCGACTGCCCGCCTGTCGTAGAATGAAGTGGCCACGTGCGGGTCGGGTGGGGCAGGCATGACAGCGTGTCGGAGGCCAGGGAGTCCCAGGCGAGAGCGCGATGTCTGACTCGCGAGAGCGCGTTCCGTAAGTCAATTGTCGCGGTCTCCAAAGCGAGAGCACAAGTCCTGAAATAGTGGCCAGAATGCCCTCGGCGAGAGCACGACTCGTGACCAGGTTGAGAGACATTCTCGAGCGAGACCGCGATTCCTGTAATGCGAGGCCGCGGTGACTAAGTAATTTAGAAGGGCGTCCAATGCAAGGGGGCGATCCTTGAGCAAACTGAAGCGAGATTTTGAAATCAAACGCTGTCCCTGATCTAACTTAGAATGAACATCCGGCGGGAGTTGTTTTGATGTTGTAGCCAGAGGCCCAAACGAACAACTTGAGCCTCCAGACTTCCAGTTGTACAAGGCAAGGTGCGAGCAACGGGGCACGTCAATAGAAACAAACACGGGGCACCGAGGGGTGCGCAAGAATAACTAACCTTCAGAAGTGAATGCTCGACAATCCGCACCGCGGAATCCCACTTCAGCCACGCACCCAGGGACCGTGTATGACTGCTCGGGTGCTTCACTCCGACATGCACACAGATGTGTTGAAGTGTGGACGCGGCCATCGAGTTGTTCTTCACCGCGCAGCCTGGGCAACCCTTGCTTTGCTCCTGGCCAACTGCCGAGAAGCATGGCGCTCCTGTAACTGCCTGTCGCCCAGACAACATGTCACTCGTTCATGGCGACCGAAGCTTCTTATGGCATGGTCACCTCAGCGAGCAACATAAAAAAGTAATGATGCTGTACTCGTGCATGGCTCTGAATTTCGTGCATGGCGGATGTGAGAGATCGTACCCTTTAAGTGGATCTGTGTCCGCGACGGCCAGCTTTTCGCGTGGCACCTCTCTGGAACAACACAGAACATGAAATGCTCGGCCCTCGGTGGCCAGCAGTTCTTTTGGCATGGCCACCTCCCTGAGCTGTTGAATTCACACTTCCAATGCACAGGAGCACGCGCGATCCACAACGGCTAGCGCCTTCGAAGAGGCCAGGGCCGCCCCGTCCGGGCCCCGGTGGTCTCCCAGATCGGCCGAAGAGCTGCTGTTGAGAGCTGTAAGGGGGACACGCTTTCAAGACATCGGGGAACACTGCACGTGTGGGACTCTTGTTTGGTCCCAGCTTCATGCATCGTGTCTCAGGTCAAGCACGAGCAGGCGAGGCTCGTGAAAAGCAGAACACATGGCACAAATGGTATTGTTGAACAACTGCTCGATGGGATTACAACTCGAGCGATCTGTCATATTCCTTCCCTGCTGAGGACTGTGGCTACGTACATTGCCCCTTGGACCTGCAAACATGTGCCAAGTGTCCAACCTACGTCCGTTTATCTGACCCAGGCATGCAGCTACATTGACTCCTCTCGTGCGTCGTCGCAGGCATCACCTAAGCACCCAAGCGTCAAGGACCACGGGCCTTCCGGCCCACACGACCACACTGCCTCAGACAGGGGAGGGAAGGGAGCGGCAAAGAACCCACTGAGCTCCCGCAGCCTCAGCAAGGCGGCCTCACGCTTTACCCTCTCCTTCTTCGTCCACTTCCTCTGCCTCAGCGCCTCCGCGGGGCACGCGTGGCAGCAGCTGCAGCTGGCCCCGAGCTGGCAGCCCCCGGGCTTCCAGAACCAGTTGCAGGGCGTGCAGCGCCTGGCAGCGTGCAGGCTGGAGCCGTGGCTCGGGGCCCCCGGCGGCGGGGCGAGCCCCGGAGGCACCGCCAACAGCGCGCCGTCGTCCATCCTGGCCCACAGCGCCGCCGCGTGGCCCCGCGGCAGCGCGCGCGCGCCGCGGGCGCCTCCCTCCCCGAGCTCCGCGGGGCCCGCGGTGGTCGGCGGTGGGCCGAGGCCGGCGGGCGCCGCGGCCTCCCCGGCGGGGTGCTGGCCGTGCGCCGCGAGCCAGAGCCCCGGCGGCGGCGGCGACGGGCGGCCCGTCCGCTCCTTTGGCGCCGTGCCCTCGGGGCCCACGGCGGGGCGGAGGGGCCCGGGCTGGGCGGGCAGTGCTGCGGCGGACATGTGGGCCGCCCGGCGCGCGGCGGCGCGGCGGGCGGGGGCGGGGGCGCTCGGGGCGGGCTGCGTCGGCCCAAGCGGGCCGAGAGGGAAGGGCTGCAGAGGGGGCTGGGAGGTGCGGGGAGAACTGCGGAAGGAGGGTGCGGCCCACCAAGGGGACGAGGGTGTGCATAGGGATTCCGACACGTGTTCCGACTTGACATGCGCCACCGCGCACGAGCAAGAACCTCACAATACTGCGAATGAAACCCTGGATGCTCGGAGGTCGCAGCGAGGCATCTGTTGAGAGCGCATGCTCCGAATGGGCGGCGCTGGCGCCCAGGGGCGATCTCTCCGGTCGGTCTCTGCAATGGGGGCCGCGCCCAGCAGCAATGCCCCGGGGGGCGCCACCGCTCAGTCGGATTGGGTGCTTTCGGTGTGGCGGCGGTTTCCCGCGGAGAGGGGTCCTCGTCGAAATGTAAACACATTGCAACAAACATCATCGCATAGGCCGCCTGGCGTGTGATGCCAATGCCAGGTATTGCATCATCAAACTTAACACAGCATCTCATGACGTACCATGCAATTGCATTACGGTTATGGCTAGCTTTAGCATGTGAGCGCATCTCAAAGCGAGGCGCAGCATGGCATCGTGAAGCACATCATGGCGCTGCATTGAATTGCACAGGATAGTGTTGAACAGTGCATCTCCAGACATGCGCGCTGGCACTCAAAGGGGCGAGAGAGGAGAACAGCAGGATTCGTGCCCCTCGAGCGTCCCCCAAAACTCGCCGTAGTCGGCGCGTTCCGTCAAAATTCCGACCACAGCATTCCCAATACTGTGAAGACCAACCGATGTTGTGGCTGGCGTCCATGTCATTGCAGCGCCAACCGTAGCATTGCATGATACAGCAGCTCGGATTTCACAGCACGGCATGAACCAGCGTGGCATTGCAGTATGTGCCAGAGGAGCCTAAACCATATTTAAAACAACGCAGAAAACATAGCAGAGCATGGCGTAACAATAAACGGTATTGCACAACTTATCAGCATCGCGTCGCTAGAGGCTGGGCGCTAAACGGAACCTCCAAAGTTAGCGCCCTACTGACGGGTACTGCACTAACGAGCACTTTGGCCAGCGACCCTACGAACCCAACCCCTTCCGATGCGGGCAATGCTGCAATGCTCGAAACAGGCCCTAAAATTTCAACTTCCCACGGGATCCCAGACAGGTACCCGCTGGTGAATACTTTTTGCGGTGCCGCTGGCCTACGACCAAACATCGGGAGCCCGCGCGACCCCATTACGACCAAAAAGAGGCCGGGCACCCTGGGCGACCCAAGACATCCCGAGCGCAACATCGCATGGGCCACTGGCCCTCTGGCGCAAAACATGTTGCGACCCTCGAGCCAGCCCTGACTGAGGACTGTGGCCAGTCATCTTGTCAGGGAACGAGACTGGATCGACCACAGAATCGCGATGCATCGCGGCTGGGGTGCGTTTCTTCATTTTCGGCGATAACGGGCGTTATGGGGTGGGAGGGGGGCAAGGACCCCATGGAGGTATAACGTAACGCCCTCCCGCCGTGCGGTTCCGGCGCCACCACAGCGTCCGCGCGCACGACGACGACAAGCGACAACGACGACGACAACGACGACGACGACGACGACGAGGGACCACGAGGGACCACGACGACGACGACGAGCGACCACAACTACGACGACGACGAAGACGACGACGACGAACAACGTCGACGACGACGACGTTGAGCGACCACGACGACGGCGACGACAACGACGACGTCGAAGACGATAACGACGAGCGACGACGACGACGACGCCGACGACCACGACGACGGCAACGACGACGAGCGACTCCTCTGGTGGTCTCCGGAGGCTTCCCGAGGCCTCTGGAAACCTCCTGAGGCCTCTGGAAGCCTCCAAAGGCCTTCCGGAAGTCATCGAAAGCATTCGAAGGCGTTTGACAACGACGAGCGACCGCGAGCGAAGAAGACCAACGACAACGACGACGACGACGAAGATGACGACGACGACGACGAGGGACCACGATAACGACGCCGAGGACGACGGCGACGACGACGACTGACAACGAAGAGCGACGACGACGACGACAACGACCGACAACGAAGAGCGTCGAGGAGTTGTGACGAGCACATGCCGCATGCCTGCGAAGGCGTCATTGCCTCCACGTGGCGTATAAGAGGTATGCTCCTTACCTCCCTCCTCCATCCTCGTCGTCGTCGTCGTCGTCGTTGTAGCTGTCGTCGCCGTCCTTCTCCTCCTGTTGTCATTTCTCCTACGAACACCACAAGTGCCTGAGAGCACCGCAACTTGCCGCGACCACTGTGCGGATCTCGATGCGGATCCCGGATCCCTATGAGGACCCCTCTGGGGCTCCCTCCTATGAGCATCGCTATGCGGATCTCTATGCGGATATCCTTGCGGATGCATATGGGGATCCCCATTCGGGTTCCTACGCGAATCCTTTTGCGCACGTTACGTTTTAGGGGGACCCGGGAGGCCATAACACGCGTTATGGCCCAAACAATAAAGAAACAAACTCCTGTCGGCGGTGTGAATTAAAAGGTCGCCAGGCATCCCGGAACGCCGCACGACCCGAACTTCAACGGGCCAACTCACGCAGTAAACCATGGCCGGACAAAACAAGCAAGCGTGCTGTGGGACTGAATCGAATACACCAGAGGATGACCCGTATCAGCTGCAGCACAAGGCTATAACCAGCCATACGATGGCACCCATGCCAACAACGACAAACCTGATATTGATGATCCCGACATCCGATGCTGTAAACTCAAAGTCGTGGGCAAACAAGCGACAGGAGCTATCGACCCCATCCTGGGACGCGGGGGAAGGGCCCGTCGTGATCTTACCTGTACGCCCAAAAACAATGAAGCCTGAAGAGACTTCCCACCCCCAGCCAGGCCGCCCAGGCACCCGAGACGGCGGGATCTGGTGGGGCTCGGGGCGGTTCTTTTTGGTATGAGGCTGGGGGTCCTGCGGGAAATGCGCCCTGGACCCCGAGGCTTCACCCAGCATCAGCTTTTCACCCTCAGTCCTTCTCTGACGGCACCGCGGCCTGGAAGGGCACCCCCGCGGGAGGCCCCACGTGGGAACAGGCCGCTCCTTCGTGGGACCTGGCGGGGCCGGGAATGAGCCCTCCCAGCCTGGATGTGATGAGGGAACCTCAGAAACCGCCATGCACAACCACCACACCCTGGCCACGCCCATTTTGGGCCGAGGAGAAGTTGCGGGCAAGACTTGTGTCCATATCAACTGCAGCTTGGAATTCCGGGCCCCCTTCCCAAGAAACCCGAGGCGCACTGGACATGGATAAAACTCTGACCCTCAGAGGTTCAATTTTTTATCAGTATATGGTGTTCCTCGGCCTTACGGCGCACCTTCCAAGAAAGTCCAAGACGCACTGGATACGGATATAAATATTTCTTGCCCGCGCAAGTGTCTACGCCCCCCTGGCAGCGCGCACATGCGAGCCCAAGGCCCAGGAGAGGGCCTGGCCGGGGCTGCTGGTCGTTTGGCGGCTCCGTTGGCCCTGGACACTCCCGAACCTCTGACGACTTGTCGCTCACAACGCGGAGCCCTGAAAATCTTGACCCTTTCCCCAGGACCGGTTTACCATGCCGAACCATTTGTTTGACTGGCGCGGGGCTCCATGAGGGCTCCCCAGACGCCCCAAAACGGCCGAAGAACCCCCCCCCCTGATTTGATCCACGACGCCAGGAGGTCTCGGAAAGTCACGACACTAGTGGCCCTGGACACTCCGCCTTCCCCGCCTTCCGTGCGACGTCGTAGATTTCCCACGTCGTGCGTGTCCCCCACTAGCCTGGCTCGCTGTCCCAGAGGCCGGCTTTTTGTCCCGAATCGTTGTTTGACGGTCCTGGGGTCCGACGAGGCCCCGAGGCAAAAAACAGCCGAACACCTGCTGTTCGCCATGTTTAACCACGAGGCGAGGTATTTGTTCGTTTCCGAGCTGGTCGCATAGACACGAGGGAAAGCAACACCACCACCACCATGACCAGCACGAGGTGCCAGGGAGGGTCCTCCTGGTGGTGTGGTCCCACTCTCTCGCTCGAGACATCCCTGATCCTCAACTCGGGGAGGCATCGTGAACCCCATCGCTGAAAATGGCCCCACTGGTGGTGGTGGTTGTGGGGTCACCTCCCCTTCCTTCGAACTTGAGAGGCCTATGAGATGGGGTCCGTGTAGATTGTAAATGGGGTCGGAGGATCGCGCCGCATCGCAGATGCATCGCCGAACACCAGCGACTTCGGCGATGCATCGGCGACGTCAGCATGGAGAAAACCTGGCTCCACATCGAGCCGCATCGCCGATGTATCGGCGATGTGGAGCGATCCTCCGACCCCAACTACTCGGACCCAACCTGGGTGGCCTGAATCTCCGTCGTCCGAGTCACAGCCAGCAGCCGAGAGGGAGAGAAGGCCCACCACGCCTCGTGGATCCCCGCTGGAGGTGTCTCCCCTAGTGGTGGTGGTATTGCTTGTCTTTCCTCCGAACCACAGACGTACCCTGAGATCCGACAGCGAAACAAAAACATGGTAGAATATCACTCACACCGAGTGCTCTCTTGCTGCGCCATGTTTATGTTTCGAACTGGATCGATCTGTGAGGGTCCCAGAGCCTGCAACCTCGCCAGCACGCCCCGCTCTACAAACAATGAAACGCCAGTATCTCAGGGGAGGCCGAGAGGGAGAGAAGGTCCACCGCGCCTCGTCGCAGACGCACAGGCGAGGCACCACGTCCTCGCCCCCGTCGTCGGCGGGAGGCGTCCAATCCTCCGGGACTGGGCGAAGCTGCGAGGCGGGCACCTCCGCCTCTCTCCCGGTGGAGGGCACGAGGACCACGCAGATGTTCTCGTCGTCCTCGAAGATGGAAGAGCAGAGGTAGGAAGAAGCAATGAAGCAAGGAACGAGGATGGTGATGATGATGGTGATGAGGAGGAGGAGCGGC